AGTGATCTGAATGCATCTACTCAGTTTGTGACTGGATTAGCATTGTGTACTCTTGGCTCAATATGTTCAGCAGAAATGTGCCGTGATTTGGCGAATGAAGTGGAACGGCTGGTGAAGAGCAGCAATACTTACATTAAGAAGAAGGTAGCGTCAAAATATCTTTTTCAATCTGTGTTTTTTATTCTTTTGCTTGTCTAGGCTGCTTTATGCGCTTTTCGAGTAGTAAGGAAAGTTCCGGAGCTGATGGAGGTCTTTATCTCTTGTACTCGTTCACTTCTCGGTGAAAAGAACCATGGTGAGTGGTAATAGATTTCCTGGATTTATTTCTCACCTTTGGCTGCAGGTGTTCTCATGGGTGCTACAACGCTTGTGACTGAAATGTGTGAGCGAAGTCCGGATGTGTTGAATCACTTCAAAAAGGTCGGTTTCTGCATTTTACAGTCAGCGTTTTGTATGAAAATAAAATATGGTGCTTTTTGCCATTAAATTGCTTCTTCTATGATTTTTCAACTTTGTCAAGTTCTCATTTCGTAATTGAAAGATCGTTTCAGTTGGTGCCAAATCTAGTTCGTATTCTCAAGAATCTCCTCATGAGTGGCTATTCACCGGAACATGATGTAACTGGAATTAGTGATCCATTCTTACAGGTACATTTGTTTTTTTTTCTTGATATAAAGACTTCTTTTTGCATGGGAAAATTGACTTTTCCATTTATGCTTTTTTTAAATTCTTCTACGGGCTTACTTTAGGTGAAGATATTGCGTTTACTAAGAGTTCTGGGTAAGGATGACTCAAGAGCCACCGAAGAAATGAACGATATACTTGCGCAAGTGGGTGACGTCTCAATAATTTCAGTTTTTTGATTCTCACGCTTTCAGTATGCGTCTTGTTTTGTTTGTTAGTCGATTGTTTTGTATATTCCGGCTTTCGACGGTTGCGAATGAGGATGTATTCATTTTAGGTAGCAACAAACACAGAAACTGCTAAAAACGTTGGGAATGCCATTCTTTACGAAACAGTTTTGACGATAATGGAAATCAAGAGTGAAAGCGGTTTGAGAGTATTGGCTGTCAATATTCTTGGACGGTTCTTGCTGAATCCAGATAAGAACATAAGGTATGGTCTTACTAATGTAGATCAACCATAATTTTTGCACCTGTTTTGTTATTTCTAGATATGTGGCACTGAACACGTTGTTGAAAACTGTTGCAATCGACTACCAAGCAGTGCAGCGTCATCGAACAACGGTCGTAGATTGTTTGAAAGATCCGGATGTTTCAATAAGGAAGTGGGTTTATCATCCACTGCTTTCACATTCTTTCACAAGTTCATTTTTCCGCATTTTTTTGTAGGAGAGCGATGGAATTGTGCTTTGCGTTAATGAACAAAACGAATATTGCAAATATGACCAAAGAAATATTGATTTTCTTAGAAACTGCTGACCCGGAGTTCAAGGTATGCTTGAAAATCTTCCGTTTGTTCGTCTCAGTCGCAAATTCTCTTTTCTTTAGTCCGAGTGCGCATCGAAAATGTATGTTGCCACGGAGAGATTCTCGCCGAATCACGAATGGCATTTAGACACCATGATTACTGTTCTTCGCTTGGTATGTAGTTGTTCTTTTTGTTCTTGATGATCTGTGTTCATAAATCTCCTTTTCTCAGGCTGGTAACTACGTGCCAGACGAGGTTGTCTCATGTATGATACAACTTATTTCTTCGCATGGAGAGCTACAACACTATGCTGCCGTACAACTGTTCCGAGCTGCCCAACTTGACTCAACAAATGCTCAACCGCTCTTGCAGGTGCGATCTATGATGTATAATTTTTTTCATCTTGATTCCTCTCCTCCTTTCTTTCCATTTCTTTCCTACTTAACACCATAAGTTTTACTCAGCCCTTTAGGTGGCTTTCTGGACGATCGGCGAGTTTGGAGATCTTCTCTTACAACCCGCTGACGCTGATTCAGCCAAGGTCAGCATCTACACGTTTGTGTGTATTTTTACCTATGGGTCACCTCGAAAATTGTGACAATGCCGTCGGTCGCATGCGTCGCGTAACAGTCGCATTTTCTTTGCTTCTTTCTTTCGAACAATTTTTTGCACGTTATATGTTAGCAACTAGACACTTGAAGAGACTGAGCATAGCGCTAGAGTCTATGAATGTTACAAGCACTTGTGACTTTTGGGGGAGGGGCGCAAAAACCGCAGCCGATCCCGTCGTCACGATCTTGTGAATGCCTTATACCATCATTTTAGTGTGAAGTAGTATCTGTTTCTGGATTTTTTCCGGCTTTTCTCACTTATGTCATTATAGGTCGAGGAAAATGATGTTGTTGAAGTTTTTGAACATGTACTTCCATCCACTTTAACTTCCTTGTCCACGAAGTGCTATGCCGTGACTGCATTGGCGAAACTAGCGACGAGGTTTGCGCAAATACCCTAAATGAGTAGCGAGCCTTCCATGAACGAATTTCAGGTTTACTTCAACTGTAGATCGGATTATAGCATTGGTCAAAGTAAATCAGGCACACCTTCACTTAGAACTTCAACAGCGATCTGTGGAGTTTTCACGTCTTCTGGATTGTGGGGACTTGAAGTGAGTTTATCTCTACATGAGTTTAGTGGGTAAATAATGTCTTTTTCATCCAGATATGGTCTGCTGGAGCGGATGCCTGTCATAACTCACAACTCTCTCAATGCTGCCGCAGCGCCGATAGAAGACGGGCCTAGTCTCATCGAAGACGCACAGCCACCTGCAAACGCCACCGTACCGACCTCGAATGTCGACTTGCTCGACCAGTTGGCTGGACTTGGAGAAGCACCTGCTGCCCCCGTCAAAACGGTGAGTTTTGCGTATTTTTTACTTCCTTTGCGAGCGGCTTCAGATTTTACTTGTGAGTTTTCATAACTGCGGTTTTAGATCTTTTTTGTTTATTCGTTTTCCTCTTTTTTGCGAAACGTTCAGGTGTTTGTCTACAGTTTTCGGACTAGCCTTTCTAATGGAATACAATGCTTGCACATAATGAAATTTCTTTAGAGTACCAACAACGACTTGTTTGATCTCATGGGTGGATCGACTGCTCCGACAATACCTGCCACAAACTCTGTTGTTGACAATAATCTTCTGGGAGGTAAGTATTTTTGAAACGTTCTGGTCTAGAGCTTTCTCGTTGTTATTATGTACACCTTTCAGGCCTTTCGTCGGTTTCGGTTTCAAATCCCATTTCTCCTGCTGCTGCTCCTGCTGCTGATCCCTTCGACTTGCTTGGTGGATTCGGCGCTCCAGCTGCTGCGCCTGCGACTGTGTAAGCTGCCATGTCACATTCTATGCATTTTTGTGAACGAACTTCGCAACTACTCTGACCATCTGCCTTGTAGGGCCCCAGCTGCTGAACGCGTTGTTGCTTTGAACAGTAGCGGCATAGAAGCACACATCATGATCTTGGGCGGAGGATGGTCTGGCGATAGTGTTCAAATGCAAGTTGAAATCACCAATAATACGCCGGTACAAGTACAAGACTTCGCATTCCAAGCCGCGGTTACTAAGGTTTGTTCATTGTCTTTCTGTCATTTTATTTCTTTTCGCGCAAGTTTTTGATTACTTCTTGGTATTTTTGGTATAATGTAGGTTTATTTCTTTGCTTTGCTTGAGGCTTGATGCAAATCTGTTGTCTTTTATCACTGCAGCATCAAGCGAATCATTGCAGGCTTTCACCATTGAGCTGCAGACGCCTTCTTCCACAACTCTTGAACCTATGGGCGGATCCACAATCACCCAAATAGTGAAAATCACAAGGACATCTCGCGGGCATCCAGTAAGTGGAATCTTATACTTTTACTCTTGTTTATTGCTGGTGCATTTTTCCAGCCTTTTCTTTTTTGCATGTGGAGAAGCTATCTCATATTTTTACCAACCTACTCGCAAATACCTACTCGCAAATTTTTTTCTTTCTGGTATGCTTCTATTGTTAATACAGTTTCCACAGTACGGCTTAATAGACCAACATTGTCCTTCGAAACTTAAACTCACCGTTCACCCAAAATGGGATTTATAAGATTGCGGTGTCTAACAGTTGCGGGGCCCTTAACTATATTGCTGCTTCCGAGAAAATCGCTTTGAAAATCCTTCGACAGACGATTCGC